TCTTTTAATAACCCTTTTCAAGGATTCATAATCTATATAATGTAAAAGGTAAATTATCCGTTTGGTTTTCCACCAATAATCACTAATTGTAGGGTGGGAACAGTGTGTGGCCATCCACTCAAAAAGGTCGAGCAAAAACTTTATTAAACAAGCAGTCCTTGCTATCTATATACAGTACAGTGTATATATATATATATATATATATATATATATATATATATATATATATATATATATATATATATATATATATATATATATATATATATATATATATATATATATATATATATACATACATATACATACATACATACATACATACATACATACATATATATATATATATATATATATATATATATATATATATATATATATATATATATATATATATATATATATATATATATATATATATATACACACACACCCTGTAGTGAAAGTGACTTTTCCAGACATCTTGCTATAAAGAGAGGATGCATTCCTTGGGTGGAATTACCGGTAAAGTGTAATTTGACCAAAGCCAAATAACACAAACAAAGGGTTAAATTTATTTGTCAAAGAGAAGAAAAGTTGCAAGATATCTTTTTTTTATTTGAAATCAATTTATCAACTACCCTCCCCTCTGAAGCATGAATGGTCAGGAAAAAACTTTACCAATGAGCAAGAATCGTGGGTCCGAGACAGAGTGAAGAATAACCAAGAAAACAGTGAGACTTTGGTGCTGGAGGAGAGAGGAATCTGGAAATCTGATGGATAAACCAAGATGTGGTGGGCCCAGGAAAACCACTCTGGACGAAGATAGACAAAACTTGGAAAGTACTGTAACAGCCAATCTCCTTTTACAAAAATGCAATCGCTTTAAGAAACTGGTTGCAATTGCAGGTTTGTGCAAAACAGTCCGGAATAGGTTTCACAAGTCAGGGATTCATCATAGAACCCCAGCAATAAAAGGAAAGCATGAAGATCATCATTGGGAAGCAAAACTGGCACATGCTCAAAAACATGTTAATGATAGCCTTAAATACTGGGGCCACGTGATCTTCAGTGACGAAAAAACCTTCGCATCAACTATCCATAACTGTCTCCACTGCTGGCAAAGTGACAATACGAGACACTAGTCCCAAACCATATACAAGGTGGCTAGAAGTGGGCACATCACCCATAGGTGATATATAGGGATGCTTACCTAAAGTTCACTTCTAATATATGTACAATGAAAAAATATCTTGAAAGAAGGCAGACACTTAAGAGCCCAATAAAACAGACTCAGAGGTGGTATTTTTTTTTTTAACTGGCAACCCCTCATCTATATATTACACTACAGTGAGTTCTGCTATAACGCGTGTTTTGATAACGCGAATTTGCTCTAACGCGATTTATGAATTCGGAACAATATTTGTATAACGCGATCGCTTGTTTGCTATAACGCGATTTTTGCTTACTATTTCTCCAATTTTGTGGTATTAACTGTGAATATGGTAAAGAAGAATATCTCCAAAAAGCATTCTGATGATAGAATTCCCGGTGATTATCGTAAAAGAAAGGATATAACACTTGAAGAGAAGCTTGATGTTATCAACCTCAAAATCACCCTTCTCCCCATCAAGTTACATTCATATTTTTTCAAGGTAAAGTGTTAAATTTACTGTATGATTTCATTATTAGATATGAATGTAACATTTATTTAGACTGTGCTATCCTTTGTGTTAGGCTAACTACTAAATTTTTTCGATTTCGAGTAATCTGCACCTAACCCTATTTTCTCCATAAGCCCTGTTATTTCTATTACGCGATTTTCTATAACACGATATTTTACAAGAACACAATTATCGCGTTATAGCAGAACTACCTGTATACAGTAGTGCAAAAATTTTGTGCATGGCACAAAATCCAAGTAAGAACCCTGCTGTTCTCACTTGGTCCATGTGAAAACAAGCAGCATCTGACAGCATCTGGCATATTAACCTGGCAATGTGAACTAACATTTTTTGTGATGCAAATTTTTTACTGTTGCCAATGAAGGTGAATTAATTATGTTTAACAACTAATTTTTAAATACAATGCATCAGCAAAATATGCAAATTGTGGAAAAACTTGGTACACATCCATCTATACACACAGCAAATTCCTTTTCTCACAACTCCACCAGCACAATGAATGCCTTTACCACATACCCAAACAACAGAAACCAACCTCCCCAGAAAAGACACTCAAGGCTACATTGTGGGCACAGTACCTCCCTGCTCTAAATCACTTATCAACGTAATATGAATGGCATTCAAAATATATCGTACTGCGTTTTCAGTTTTTATAGTAATTAATGGAGAAATATGAATCTATTTGTGATAATCCAAATTCTGAAATGTTTTAAAAGTGCATCTCTATCATGAATCAGAGTACAGTACTGTATATCTATACCTGTACATTATGTTAAGAATTTAAATGATATTTAAACTAAAATGACGTAAACCCTCGAATATCCGGACTAAAAAGAGGGACCACCTGTCTGAAAAAGTAGATTGTCCGTATCTTCTGGTGAAAGTAATAAATGTATAAAAACGATAAATAATAATACAGTAATATAAAAAACACCAAAAATACAGTAACGTATTTTACGACATATAAGACGCACCCCCCCATTTTAGCAGGGGGTATTTAGTTAAATCTTGTAAATATTTTCCTCCTGTATCCATAGTTTTCTTAAAATAATATATACAGTACCAGTAAATGTGAGGATTAAGTAAAGTATTATCAATAAATAAGTTAAAACAAAAAATACTGTAGTATATAAAAGCCAAATGAAAGTTAAAAAATTCGCCATTTGCATACACTGCCTGGATCACCATAACAACGGAGACCAGCTGGGATGCTACCTTTGCCAATTCCCTAGCAACTCTACACCCTCCTTCTGCTCCCTCACTCAGCCAGCTAACTATTGTACAAAGAAATATATACTGTATTCCCTTACATTTTTACCCTTAGTACAATTATTTCTTTTAATTGTACAGTATTCATAATATGAACTATATGTAGGATGGTGTGTGCACGTAACTGAGAAAAATAAAAGAAGAAAGATAACTATATCTACCTTAAAATATGAGTTAAAAACCAACCACAACACCTCACAGCTTGGCCCAGTAGCCTGATGGTTAGAGTGATGTGTCTAACCTGCCTGCAATGCCTTGATTAATCACTATTAAGCATTATTATATCAGTAAACATTTTTAATAACAGTATATCCAGTGAAATATAGTAGAGGGAGGAGACGAATTACAAGATGCAGACGACGCTCATAACTAGTGGTCACTCACTCACTTCCATTGCCAGGTGTACGATCAAAATACATATGGGAGAAATACTTATCTTGTTGTCTAATTTGAAAATGATGATGGGCACAGTGATAAGCAAATCATATATACCATGCATTTATCAACGAGAACACAATGTGAAACATTGTATCATTACTAGAGTGACTGAAATCAGATTCCCAAAAACAACAATTAACAATTTTGTTTATGTTTCCCGCCTCGGGTTGACATCTTAGTAACACGGACCTAAGATGATCTTTGCTATGTTTTGGGAATGCCTCTTAGGGAGGCTTCTTAGCCCCCGGAACCCCCAAATTTTGTCAGAATCTTCTGAAATCTGGATTTACTGGATCCAGATCTTCAAAAGTTCACTGTATTAAAATTAATTTAGATATCATGGCTAACAGGGATAGCACAGGATATATTATACTATTCTGTCTGTTTTAAAAACAATATGAATAAAAAAAATGCTTATTCTTTACCTGCTATTTTATAAAATAAATTTTGATATTGTATCACGAAGCCAAGAAAACATTTAGTGTAGAATGCCTTGAATACTTTTGCAAACCCGACTCATTCCTCATCCTTGAGGTGTAATACCAGATGGGTATTGGGGGACACTATGTGAGGCACAGATGAAGAAATAATCAAAGCACGTCTCTTCTCTTACCAAGAATCTGATTTTGATGTCAGCAGTTCAAATTGGAACTTTAAAATCCTCAAAATCAATAAAAACAAGGTATTATATCCTTGTTATCTTCGAAGTAAATACAAAACAAATCTTTACGCTATGCTATACAGGGCTGTATAAGTAAGACTCCCCAGAAACAGCAGGAAAACCTGGGATAGAAGACCAATACGTGGAGGGTCAACAGTACCAAGGAAAACATAACATTCAAAGACAATCCTGATGTGGCACTATGCTGTACAAGAAACCAGAAGCAGACAACCAGTATGAAACACCTGTACATCAAATTGGAACTCCATGTAACTTCCAAAGATGGAAACGTTGCATCAAGAAACAACTTTGCCAACGTTCGCTGCCAGTTCATGGACCCACATTAATATACAAATTAATTTTTTCATAACTTTCATGATAAATTTACAATTATCTTTAACATTTTCCCTCACCAAGTTCACAATTAAATCTAGGTATGAAGAAATATTTTTATTTCGTATTTACGGACTCACATACACAGTTAAGAACAGATAAACTGTAATTGAAGTTTCTTTTACTGTATATGTCAGGCTTTACCATTAAGTTTGGGTGTCAGTGAGTCCCATAGACTTGATGGCCTATCAAGAGCAGTATGAACTAAAAGCACTGAATACAAAATCTTAGTATTGTACACAAGAAGGAAGTGTAACAAGCAATGTACTTGAGAACTTTGACTTCCCCTCCTGCATACAGTTACCAATTTACATCCAGCTAGACTGGGTGTGCCCTGAGTAAGAATCAACAGTGCTTATGCAGTAGATGAGTGCTACATCCACTAAGCCATCACACCCCAAAGTAATGTAATATTTACATGTTAGGAAATTTCAGGCAATGACCAGCATTTCAAAATCAAACAACACTAAAAACTCCCAAAAGTATCCAGGACTATCTTTTTTATGGCAGTACAAACAAGAAATACTGAGATACTAACCCAACTTAAAACATATCTTTCAAGGAAGTTTTCATACCTGTATAACCAATGCCTTTCTTATTGTATATGTGAATACATCTGGGTGGCCTTCCTTCCATCATAGCTGCCTTCCCTAGCTTGCTGTTATCCACAACACGCAAACGTGTTAATTTCTGTATTTCCTGAAGTGATGCACTGGTATGAAGCCTTGCACCCACACTGCATCTTGCAATGAACTGTCTTGGACTCCCCAATGCATTCATCTTCAGTCTGGAAAGTAAATGATACTGTAAAACACTGAACCCCACATGCTGTAAAATGTCAATATATATATATATATATATATATATATATATATATATATATATATATATATAAAACTTCAGCAATGGACTTGTTACGTGGAAAGCGTAGTTTTATAACGAAGAGGAGAACCAGGGTAAACACAAACATCTTGAAGTAGGGCTTCTTTTAATTGTTAACATTTTGGAAATAATCCTTTTCCATCATCAGAGCCTAAAAAGTTTTGAAAAAGTTTAAAAATACAGGTGATATACAATAAAAACTAAATATTATACGAAAATTTACCTTCGATAAACTTAAAACATTTAAAAAAGAGCAATCCAATGCAAAACCGACAAAAATAATGAGAGACCTACATACAAAGCTAAAATCAGGAAATAAAAATTAAGAAATAAAATATACAGGGGGTATTACCTTAATTCGGACGAGCCTTAGTGCAAAAAACACAACAATTCACTACAGGCCATATCACAAAGCGATGGCTTTTCTTTATACTGGTGTAATGCCTCCATAATGAGGAGGTCTGTATCACAGTCGCTCCTGCCAAGAACTGAGAAATCAGACGGCGAAAACGGGTGGTCATGTTGGTGGGCGTGGTTACGAATAGCTGAATGTGGTGGTTGTGTTATTAACTGGCCTGTTCGGACGGAACGGCCCAAGTGTTCATGGATGCGAGTTTTACCTATATATGCTGCCCTACAGCTGGCACACGTAAATTGATAAACAACTGAGGATTACAGGTGTGTGGGTATGGTGTCTTTAATTTTAAAGAATTTCTTAATTGAACTCTGAGTTTTAAAGACTAGTCTAAGAGAAATTTGTGGATAGAATTCATTGAAAAGCTTCTTAAATTTATTTCTAAGGGTGAAACTGAGTGGGCCTGTGTACAGGATGGTGAAATAGATAGAATATTTAGGGACAGTGTGGATTTGAGGCTGTGTGGGACTAAAAAACCTATTCAGGGTTTTGCCAATATAAGTGTCTATAAATCTCTTAGGGAAACCATTGTTAAAGAGTAGTTCCTTTATGTATTTTAGTTCAATATCCAAGTGGAAATAGCTTGAACATATATTAAAGGCTCTGTTGGTAAGAGTACGTACTAGATTACGTTTGTAATTAAGAGGAATAAAAGATGAAAATTTTGAACTCAAACCCGTGAAAGTTGGTTTTCTGTATAAGGCTGTCTCGAAACTATTATGAAGACAGTGGATATTAACATCAGGGAATGGAAGAATATTTTCCTTTTCCAATTTACAGGTAAATTTGATGTTGCCATGTTTCGAATTTAAATAATTTAGGAACATAGGGATGTGATCCAGTGATCTGAAAATTAAATAAGTGTCATCAACAAACCGACGATAGAACAAAGGCTTAAATTGGGGGGGACATTCAGTTGGCCAAAGCTTCTCGTGGTGACAGAGGAAAGTGTTGGCCAACGTGGAACGTAAAGGTGAACCCATAGCAACACCATCACATTGTTTATAAGCTTTGTTATTAAATAAAAACAAACAATCATTTACAGCCAGTTTTAAAAATTCTTTAAATTGTGGTCCATTGAATCCATCAATTATATCAGTAGTATTTGAGAACAGTTCAGCTGTACATATGTCAATAGTTTTGGTAAATAGAGACTGTATATCAAAGCTAGCCATAACACAGTTGTTGAATGAGATGCTAGTTAGCTCCTTAACAAAACTAAAAGTCTCTTTAACAGAATATTGATTAATGGTGATTGGTGACAGTATGGGAACGAGGAATTTAGACAGATTATAGTTGAAGGTGCCAAGGGCAGACAATATAGGGTGTAAGGGACACTCACCCTTGTGTACCTTTGGTAGACCGTACAGGATACCTGGTTTAGATCCGCTAACAATGAATTTTAAAAAGGGGGAGTCGTTAATGACATTATTTTTTCTAAGTTTACGAAGAAATATGTTAATCTTGTCCTCATACTTAAGAATTACCCTGAATAAGTCGTCTAGAATGGGGGCAAATGTAGTTCGGTCGTTTAGTATACAGTGACCCCTCGGTTAACGAACTCAATCCGTTCCAGAAGGTCGTTCGTTAACCGAAAAGTTCGTTAACCGAAACCATTGTTTCAATGGGTTTTTGGGTAATTGGTTCCAGCTCACCGAAAATTTCCTAAATTCAACAAAAATGGTAGAAAAGTTCACTTACTTTGAGGTGTGTATGTAGAAGGCTCCTGGATGATGATGATGGGAATTAGAATGGGGGTGGAGGAGAAGGAAGAAGAGAAGGCATTGGGGTGGAAGAGAAGTCACCCCATGGCACCATTTCACCCATAAAATTTTAGTTCTCTTGGTGTATTTCAAGATTATTTTCTTTAAATCAACACTGCACTGCATTATATATTGTCAATATGTAAAATATATTTCAAAATGACCAATAATTTGCTTGGAAACACAGAAAAAAGCGTTTAGTTGAAGAGAGTCTCAAGCAAGATGTTACCTCCAGTGAAAACAGAGAGAGACTAACGCCTGTTTGCTGTGTTAAGAGGCTGGATGCCGCGCATTAAACTAGTCACTTTACCTTCAATTATGTTCAATAATTGTTAAAATGACTAAAAAAGTTAATATTAAACTTTTAAAATTATTGAATAGTATAAACTTCTTGATATTTACTAAAATAGTAAGGAATTTAAGTCCTAGAACCGATTAATGCATTGGCGGACTGATACTAAAGCTGGTTGCCCGGTCAGTGCAAGCGAAAACATGTTGAGGTCGGTTCGTAAGAAATTCATTAACCGAATTTTTGTTCGTTAACCGAATTGAAGATCCTTATGGAAGGCAGTTCGTTAACCGAAATTTCGTTAACCGAGGCGTTCGTTAAACGAGGGGTCACTGTATTCATCATTTTCTCAACGTAGGACGTTTTATTGAGTATAACAACCCCATTACCCTTATCTGGTTTAGTAATGATAATATTGTCGTTGGATGCTAAGTTTTTAAATGCGAGAAATTCTTCCTTAGAAAGAGATTGTTTGGTGCTGAACGAGTTGTATGAATAATAGGACCAAAACGCTCAGTGGCGGAAAAAGTTAATAAAATAATGCAAACCTTTTGATACTGAATCATATAAACTGAGAGGAGACAGTTTCTTAAAAAGACTCTCAAAACCAAGGAAATGGTTAAAAAAGTTTAATTTGCGGGGATTAAAAGCATATTTCAGACCTTTAGATAAAGCTTGTTGTTCTACTTGAGAGAGGGACAAATCTGAGTAGTTGAAAATCACCTTATTAAGGGAAAGATTACCGTCGTGAACATAACCTAGTTTTCTAAGTTTGTCGTACTGGACGAGTTCAATTCTAGAAGTCAGTTTATAATTTGTAGAATTTACTAAATTCTGCAAATGGTTGTAATCTAAATAAGACACTTGAGATTTTAATTCCCGAGATAGTTTAATATTATGTTTCTTTGTCCTTATTTCACTGCTAAGTATATGTCTCTGGCAATTTCTGTAGGACTTATAATGCTGCAGATTATGGTTACTGAGTTTAAATTTCAAGAAATTGGGGATCAACTTCTGTGAAGAGCATGAATCCTTTAGCGGCCTCTAGTGAATTGTTGTGTTTTTCGCATTAAGGCTCGTCCAAATTAAGGTAATACCCCCTGTATATTTTATTTCATACTTTTTATTTCCTGATTTTAGCCTTGTATGGAGGTCTCTCCTCATTTTTGTCGGTTTTGAATTGGATTGCTCTTTTTTTTAATTTTTAAAGTTTATCGAAGATAAATTTTCGTATAATATTATGTTTTTATTGTACATCACCTGTATTTTTTTAGTTTTTCAAAACTTTTTAGGCTCTGATAATGGAAAAGGATTATTTCCAAAACATTAGCAAATAAAAGAAGCCCTACTTCAAAATGTTTGTGTTTTCCCTGGTTCTTCTCTTTGTTTTATATATATATATATATATATATATATATATATATATATATATATATATATACACACACACACACACACACACACACACACACACACACACACACACACACACACACACACAGTATATATTGAAAATCCTGCAAACAAATTGGGTCGAGATAAAAACAGAAGTATAAATGGATAGGTCCAAATCACAGTGCAGCCTACCCCACACATGAAACAGGGGCATAAAATTTGCATATAAAGCACATTCTTTTGCTGTATATATGTAAGATATAATAAGACAATGTACTGTACTACTCTGGCATCTTTTTACGTATCATTCCATTAAGACACCCCCTTCAGCTATGTACAGTACCTGGCTCACTTTGTTCCTGAACATCATCTTTGGTGATACCGTTTGCTTTTCATCTCAAGATTTCGTGAGAAACTATGCTAGTAGTTTACCACACTATTTATAACGAAAGATGACCAGAAACTTAAAGTGAAACCTGTTATTCTGAAAATTTTAAAGACAAAACACATTACCAATAATAAAACCGGCCAAAAATTAATTATCAGTTGGGTTCCTCTATGACACTAATGAAGTGCCTTTAGAGGTTTCAGACATACATCATTGAACTATGTGTGATTTAAACTGGTATGAACCACAAACTACCTGTACAGTTCTGTACTGTATAGTGATCAGTAAGGCAGTCTCCGGGTTACAGACGAGTTCCGTTGCTGGGGACGTTCTTAAGTCGAAATTGTACGCAAGTCAAAAGACATGCCATGTGCATACTGTACTTCAATGTCTAAAATCCCACTATATCATAGCCTAAGTCCTTATATGCATCTAAAATCACTTAATTTAAGAGAGAAGAAGAAATTGAATGACAAAATACAGTAAATGAAAGTAAAAAATAAGTCATCACGTAAATAAAATACTACTGTAAATTTAAAGTTTAACCTTGTTCCTATCGACAGATGTTCGTAAGTCTGACCTTCGTAACCTGGGGACTGCCTTTAGTACTTATAAACTGGTGTCTTTAAATGTCTTTTAATTTTATTAGGAAGTAATAATTTAGCCATAGTTTCCATGCCTTTGACAAATTGATAAAAGTCACGAAATTAACTAAATATGATACGTATCTTGTAATACTTTATGACACTGACTCGTGAGATGGAGCACCTTTAAAAAAATTTTCTACCTCGGAAAAAAAAATTTGTACATCTTGAATTTTTAATAAAAGGCGGAGGAACGGCAACTTTACCTCTATTTTCTCTAGTACAGGTTGGGTATCCTTAATCAGAAATGCTTGGCGCCCTTAAGGGTCTCGCATTTGGAATATTTTTGGATTTTGGAATACCTATATCCAGTATACATAACATGTATAATGTGATAGCTCACCCAGTAGGGATGGGTCCCAAGTCTATGCACAAAATTCATTTATATATTTAATTTACAGCAGGCAAGGGCAACCCGCAGCCTGTATGCGGCCCAAACCATTTAATGTGGCCCGCCATTCAGGTAGATGCAGAAAATTTATGGTGAATAAAGCAATATTTATTAAAAGAATAATCTTAACACACAATTCATTACCGTTTCATCACCTAAGAGTAAGTAACTACGAAAATGTAACAGTGAAACGAGTATAAATAGTCAACAATATAAATATTTAAACTTGTGAGAGTTTATGGGCCACGTTTGGTGCGGTCTGTTTGATGGATTAGCTGCTATGTGACAGTGGGTCACTAGGGAATTAACTAAGGTTGAGTAAGTCCAAGTGGGGTCTCTTCCTTGTTGACAGACTGTCTCTCTACATAGTACCTCATCCTTCACTCCTGGCTGTCTGTTCTATCAATTTATTTTTGTCTGATTATATATATATATATATATATATATATATATATATATATATATATATATATATATATATATATATATATATATATATATATATATATATATATATATATATATATATATATATATATATATATATATATATTTCATGTAAATCCACAATGAAAACGTGGATAAGATCTTGATATCGGAAATATTTTTGCTTTATTCAAGACATCTTCAGATGTCTTGAATAAAGAAGCAAAAACCATATATATATATATATATATATATATATATATATATATATATATATATATATATATATATATATATATATATATATATATATATATATATATATATATATATATATATATATATTGTAAAATAAATGGATGTGCCTATAGGTTGTTTCATTGTACAGTAGTTCCTCATGCGCCAAGAATAACATTGCCATTATTATTATGGTGGATTTATTTCATAAATGGGAAAAAGACCGACTGTAAACTGAAAGTATCATAAGGTGGACGTGACAATAAACTATTTCACTGTCCGTGCTAATACAATATTAACATTACTTTTAGGTTAGGTGGGTTTACCCGCAGAAAAATACTTAAATTATAATTTGGCCCATGACTGAGGAAAGGTTGCCCATGCCCGATTTACAGCATATGGATACATATATTCTGCCGGTAGTTTTATGAAATATAATTTAAAAAATTTTTGTATAAAATATTTGATAAGATGTACGTACACTAAAAACCAAGAAAGGTAAACAATCACTTCCGTCCGTTTGGCATCGCCATGACGCCCGACTCCGAGGTGCTAAGCAGACTGTGTCTTACCTTTATTCATTATACCTACATAATTACCCTCGTAAAACTTATGGAATGTGCCATATTCAGTATCTTATCTTCCATAAAATTAATGAAATAGACTTTCGGATTTCAGAGCATTTCGGACTTGGGAATTTTGGATAAGGGATACTTAACCGGTATTAGTTTGAGAGTAAATACAGCTAGTACACACACTATTTGTGCTGCTCCTCTGTTAAAATAAGTGACGACAACAAAATAGCAACCTAACTAACCTACCTAACATAGTATAAAATAATGCACTTCCTTCCTAGGATAGGTAGCACAGGTTAGGTATGTTTGGTCGGTTTATCTTCCCTGCACTAATTCATTCCTGTTACCGGGGGAAAAGAGTGTACAGTATGCTGTCTAAGTATGAAACACTGCCAAGGGAAAATGCCCAACTAATAATGTAATGCATTTTTGGGGGTTAAGTCCTTATTATTTATTGGTATATCCTTAATGCAAGAAAATATTATAATTGTCTATACAGAAATGTTCTACAGCTGCTGCCTGGGTATACTTTATCTTTTATTTAAAATTTACTTGTATGCATAAATATTATACTGATTAATAAAATGACAACAATGTATTTTTACTTTTTAGCTTATCCTTTGATCATAAATTACTTGTTAGTGGACAGGGCATGAAAGAAGAGGGATACAAGTGTAATGCAGTAAAAACTCCAAGAACACTGATCATATGGCAGTAATTTCAAATTATTTACCATAATTATGCCAGCGTCGGATCTCCCGTGGCAACAAAGTTTTGGTTCACTTCGTCTGCTATGCAAAAGCATCCGCTGTCTTTATTTACATGTCAAGAAACCACCGACGATCTTATAGGGCGTGTTTATTACAAGTTATATTAGATTGCAATAGGAAAATTGAAACGACACCACAGGTTAGGAAGTTTGATTCTAATAAGTTCTGAGAATTCTAGCTTCCATTTTCGTGTTCAGTATCAGGCACATATTATCTCAAGAAATTATGGTTCAAATCCATAAGTTATTTCTGGTGCTAGCGGTCTCCTCCAGCTTTACCGTAATTTCACGTCTCGATGTGCGTTGTAGACGAAACGATGCACAGGTTAGGAAGTTAGGTAGGTTCTAATACGTTTTGTGGAAGTTTTTCATGTGTGTGGTACTGATTGCGTTAATGTCCAGAAAAGTATATCTCTTGGCGCTCACATCAACAAGTCATGGTGGGGTTGCGTGAGGCTCCCATGTTGAGATTAGATTTATGTTTGGGAAGAAAAACAAAAGGAGGAAAGATGTAATTCCTCCACTTTGATCTTTGAATATTAAAAAAGTTGGAAATAAGTTTTCTCCGTGAGCATCTTATTTATATTGCTCCTTCTCATGAATCAAGCGTCGTAAAGTATTGGCAGTGGATATTTGCCGTGACTGGCTAAGTTCCTACTAACGCTACTTTACCGTGACTACACACTGATTGGCTAATCGTCCATTACCAGTGAACAACGCGAGAACTACATTTGACGTGACTCTGACGGCATTTGGCATTTATTTAGATGTGTCGATCATTGTGAAGCTGTAAACATATTTAACCGTATTTCTGCTGTGCATGGAAACTTATCATTATAAAAGAGGCAACATTTACTAGAACCTAATAGAGCCTGACCTAACCAACCAAAGAACCTACCTAACCTTACCTAACTTTCTAGCCGGGGTGTGAAAAACCACCAGTCATATTAAACAGAAAGTACTTAGCCAACCAGCGCATATGCTCACGGTAAAATAACGTTAGCCGGTCAGGGCAAAATATCCACTGTGTAAAGTACAATATGATCTTTGAAAGAATGAACAGGTTTTGATTTGTGGTAAAATATCAAGCATAGGTTCCTGTGCCACTTCACCAACGCACAATAATGATTTAGAACGAAATTAAAATTAAATATTATATTCCGCACAAAAACTGCAGTGCTGAATTCTGACTGATGTGTAATTCACTTCCTTATTTACCTGGAGTCAATATGAACACACACACACACAGTCAGCTTTCGTATATTTGTAAACAAAGCTCTTTAATTACATTTAAACCCCCGTATTAAATAGCAAAACCTATTGGAGAAATGGACCACCAGTGTTGTAAACAAATTTACTAATTATAATACCCACAAATACATGTCCATGATATATTTAGAATCCAAAATATATACCTTACTAATTGAAAAATGATTATTACACCAGTTATTGAAGTAAAACACCACAACTCACCAGTGTCCCTCTCCGGTGTGTGTTAGTCCGGCGCAGCAACCATCCTCCAGCGAACACTTCACTCGGCCACTCCTTCCCTCAGTACTCTCAAATAAGACAAACCTCTGAAAACAAGTTGGAAATAATAACAGAACTCATAACTTAAAGAAGAAAATTAATGAAAAATGTTACCGTAAAGTAGGTGTGAAAAAAGACTTTATCGATCAAGTAAACAAAATTACCTCAAACATGAATATTAGCTGGATAATGAAAACCGTATTAAAAAGCAAGGTAGAAAACTAGAAATGATAAGATAGGCTATTTATCGTAAACAATTAAAACAAACTCATAAAATTAGTGAAGCAGACACGAAAAACACAAATTAAACGGGTAAATATTAGACACCGATCCCAACACAATGACACTTAAGGATGCTTATTCCATGAAATCGTCGATGACACACTGGTTCAGAAAGCCACTTAACCCTTAACCACGGGGGCGCCACTTTTAATAATGTTACTTGGTTAACGTCAGATGATTTTATTCAGCTCAGGGGTGGTGGCACTGTGCACAAGGGGTTAAAAGCTTATTTTCATTGAGGTACTATTATAGTGAGTTGCAATCGTGTGTTTTATTTATTCGTCTAAAACTACAATATTCAGTGTATTTCTAAATGTAATATTTGTATTTTACGATACATTTTTATTCGTGTATGTAATTGTAGTTTCACATCAAAGATTTAACTTTTAAATGCGGAAACAACTAAGAGTAATATTCAATAATATATGACTTTGTTCATGTGTTAATTTAGGCTCTGGTGGCTTTAAATTTTCACACTCCAATATAATCTGTTTATCTTTGTTTGAGATCACATTAGTGGGACTAGTTGAACAGATTCTTTATGTACTTAACGTGCTTTCATAATTACTGTGTTTAATGACGTAATTAGTCCTTCACGACATTCAAAACCGAACTCTCGTATTGTAGAGTACATCATTCGCCACTATGGTTTGTTCTTACAATTCATATGGAAATAATTCTTGTGTTATATAACCATTGGTGTTTCAATTTGGTCTTCTACTAATTTGTGTGCATTGTATTGTGATCTGCGAAAACTTTTTCTGCGTTATTCATTAGTTTTATGAGAAACATGATTACTGGCGACTGGCGTGAATAAACTGAACATGTTGGAATTGCATTTAGGATAATAAGTAAGTTTTCGCGGCTAAAGTAAACATTTGTAGAAGAAAATGAAAAGGAGAAAATGTGTTACTCACCTATATTGGACTAAATATCCACTAGGGTTAATGGATAAGTGATTTTCCCCATTACACCAATGCGGCTGGTTTGTTTTCATTGGCTGAAGAGCAGCAACGGAGTGAACGACGCCAGCGAATGAAAACACACTTAGCCATCAATTCAACACGCCTCCGTGATGGACCTTTTCGTAATACAGGGAACTGTATACTGTATATATTTTTTTTATTGCAAGGGGGGAGGGGGGGGGGCTGAAGCTCCGATTTTAATAAAGACTTAAAATGGTGCAACCCGGGTTATAATTAAATTTTAGAACTGCTTTTGTTCAACGGAATATGATAAATTATAACACAAAAAGGACTTACTTACAATGAAATCTATTTTATCACCAGTTGGCAAATAACAGTAGAGTCTGCTTCGCAGTTTGCACGTTTCACTGGGCACCACAGGCAAAGGATATCGATGTTTAGTGTATTTATTAAATCTAGGCTGACACATGCGTTGTCACAAGTCGCTTCAGGGATGTTACAGCTTCGTTTAGTCAACACGGCCCTGTAAAGAATAAAAATAACATGTTAAGATAATCAGGCTGATGATAAATAGTAACAATAACTAAGTTTTCTATGAATGTATTATCGGAGTTAATGTTTTATATCAAATACTATGATATTGAATTGAATTGTAACAGTTTATTTAGCCAGAAAAACACAGATACAGAGTGGATAATAATAACAATATTAACATGGTTGAGCCAGTTGAGAACTTGAGCTCTCTTTTAGGCACCTGATATATACTATACATTTATCTCAAGGAAGTATTATGTAACATTTAGGAAAAATTTTGGAATAGTACAATAGCATGGTGGTAATAACATCTCATAATGTTACCACGGTTATCACTTCAATATGATATTGATCAGTATACCCACTACCTACTCCGGTATTGTAAATTTTCATTACTTTCTGCCCATGATAAGAGCCAATAGACCATTTTGACAGGAATCATATTATTGGAATATTATAGTTTTAGCTGTGAAATAAACTTACGATCTCCAATTTACCCTTTGTTGCCAAGTTACTTATACTGTTGTTTTCGCGATTGCCATTGTGCTAACGCTTCTCCCGCATTTCGTGTTTTGACTTTAATTTCACTTTGGTTTTATGTTCAAACTTAAGAATATAATTACAAACCGATCTTTATTCATTATAATTTTACTGATAAATGTACAACAGTATCAACAGTATACACATGCAGGTTTGGACGCCATAATGAAGTCTAGTTTGGAGACGCCATAATGGAATCTAGTGTGAGGCGACGCCATTCTGGAGTCTAGTGTGAGGCGACGCCATTCTGGAGTCTAGTGTGAGGCGACGTCATAATGGAATCTAGCGTGAGGCGACGCCATTCTGGAGTCTAGCGTGAGGCGACGCCATTCTGGAGTCTAGTGTGAGGCGACGCCATTCTGGAGTCTAGTGTGAGGCGACGCCATTCTGGAGTCTAGTGTGAGGCGACGCCATTCTGGAGTCTAGCGTGAGGCGACGCCATTCTGGAGTTTAGTGTGAGGCGACGCCATTCTGGAGTCTAGTGTAAGGTGACGCCATTCTGGAGTCTAGTGTGAGGCGACGCCATAATGGAGTCTAGTGTGAGGCGACGTCATAATGGAGTCTAGTGTGAGGCGACGCCATAATGGAGTCTAGTGTGAGGCGACGCCATAAATGGATCTAGTGTGAGGCGACGCCATAATGCGAGGCGTAAAGTTTATCGATGCAGGGAACCCACCTTCAAGAGTTCCTCACCACCTACTCTGTAAGTCTGACAAGCGTGTTTAACCTAATCTGCAGTGTTTTCTCTCCAAGCTGTGGCGTCACTAACATTGCAACTCCCTGTCCGTGGGCGGAGTGTGTCAGTGAGTGAGAGTTAGTTGGTGACGTGATGTTCGCTCGTGTGAGGAGTTGTGTGTTGGTGCGCCAGAAATGTTCACTGACTTTATTCCTTTAATAAATTCTCTTGGGTAGCTAATGTCATTTATAACTCCTCACGCTATTCTTAAGTGTACCCATAAGTTACAGCAGTATATATCCTACTCTTGGAATATAAAGGTAAATTTCACTGCAGAGTTTAAATGTTCACTGTCATATAATTTCGACTCTTGCATTCCACAAAACAAATAACTATACGTTCTACAATAGTCCTGTATATTTTGTCTACAACTGAATAATTCTTTTCTTAAATTTTCAACGGCAAAATTGCGTCATTATTCTACGAGCAATGTCAAAATGCCTCTTTGTCCCGGCAGTCGTTTTCTCGGCCAAGGAGTCACCGTTTCAAGGCGGATTAATGGAGAGCTATAGCGGGCAGAGGTCGAGAACTCCGCTCACTAGTCCCACAATGGTGTTCTTTCAGCATCCGCGCAGCCTCCACCATTCTCGTCTTAGTATTGTCATCTACTCATAGTTTACCTTTCTCTCCACTGAAGCTTCTACTTTTAACAAGGAGTTGAATCACCTTTCATAAGCGTCACAAGTATAAGAGATAACCGTATACTTTGTCCGTCAAAACCTTTAGGTGTCGTTTGTATGTTCATGATATCCCACGGCACCGTTTCTCCCTTAGGATCATAAGAACATAAGAACATAAGAAAATAAGGAGTCTGCAATAGGTCGGTTGGCCTGTGCATGGCAGCTCCTGTCGAGAGTTACTACCACTCTCTATCATCCATGAATCTATCCAGCCTACTTTTGAAACTTTCCAGCGTTCCAGCGCTTACTACAAACTTGCTAAGCTTGTTCCACTCGTCCACCACCCTATTTGTGAACCAGTTCCTTCCTATCTCCCTCCTAAACCTAAACTTATCCAACTTAAATCCATTGCTCCGAGTCCTATCCTGCTCGGATATTATAAGAACTTTATCTATATCCCCTTTATTGATTCCTTTCACCCACTTAAATACTTCTATCATATAAGAACATAAGAATGGAGGAAACTGCAGCGGGCCTATTGACCCTTACTGGGCAGTCCCGTTTACACCCAACCCCTATTGCTCATATAAGCATCCAACCTATGTTTGAAGCTATCCAGCGTATTCGAGTTAATGATGATATTTGGTAACTTGTTCCATTCATCCACTACTCTGTTACCAAACCAGTGTTTATATATTTCGCGCCTAAATCTAAATTTGTCTAATTTAAAACCATTGTTACGAGTTCGCTCCTGGTTGGATAGTTTGAGTACCTTTGTAATGTCCTCTTTGTTTAACCCTGACTTCCATTTATACACCTCTATCATGTCGCCCCTCGCTCTACGGCTCTCGAGGGAGTGCAAATTAAGATGCTTTAACCTGTCTCTGTACTCAAGGTTCCTAATGCCCGGGATTAGTCTTGTCATTCTCCTCTGGATTCTTTCCAAGATTCAATATCCATTCTGTAATACGGTGACCAGAACTGAACTGCGTAATCCAGGTGAGGTCTCACAAGCGCTAGATATAATTTTAAGATGACCTTTGTATGAACCTTGTTACGAGCAAAAACACATTGTTTACTTGGCTTAAGATTCCTACTTATCATTACTCCTAAATCTCTCTCGCAGTCGGATTCCACAATGGCATCGTTGTTCATCTGGTAACTGGTTTCCCTGTTTACATCTTCGTCTTTCTAGGGAATGCAAGTTTAGTTTCTTTAACCTATCCTGATATGGAAGGTTTCTAAGTCCCGGAATCAGTTTCGTCATTCTTTGCTGCAGCGACT